AAATCAGTACCAGCTTCCTATTCTGAATTGTATGGAGGAGTACAGATATTTTTAACTGCTTTACCTTCTTCATATTTGGCTAAGCATAGGTTCAGTGCAGTAGCTAATTTACTGTCTAAGAAAAGGAACACATTGCACATCAGTGAATGCGGCAATTTGCAACTGATGTTGATAAAATTGAAACACAACATAAACAAATTCTTAAAACTCTACCAGCCTCCATCATATCATAATTTTTTTTTTTTTTAATTTCTAACTGATTTTGTGTTTACTTTAATAAACAATTTTTATTACATTTGATGGTCATTTTAATTCTTACTTTGTGACTCTTAATACACAGATAGACAGACACAATAGATATAGATAATGTGCAACAATATTTTAATATCTAATTAAATTAACTATTACGGAAAAGCGGGAATTGGAATTTTTTTTCTTTTTGCGAAGTGGGCAGTGGTTTAGAAAAGGTTGGGAACTTCTGATATATACATATATATTCAGCTCCTTACTCACCTTAAAAGTCTTTACCCAGCCTTTATTTTTGTGATCATTGAAAACATTTACTTCCAGTTACAAAAGTGTTTTAAATGGTGAAAATATTCATGCCTTGGTAACTTTAAGTTAAAAAAAAAAAAAAAAAATTGAAAATAACAAAATCTAACTTTTAATGCAGTCTTCCAGTTTTTATACTTATATATAGGAAAGTTTATACTCATTAAGTTTGACTACTGTAAGTTAAAAATTGACAGTGATATTTAATTTCAAAATTTGGAATTTTTTATGTAATTTTCAACTTATCTTAGGGAATTGGTTAAGTCAGAATAATTTGAAGAAATGAGTTTAAAAGATGTGCAGCAAAAAATGTGCACAATTTAATAGACATAAAAAGAACTGTGGTGTCATATTTTATGCGAACAGATTAATTATTTTCCCTTTATTTTTTACTGGAAAAATTCATTTGGTATATGTTCAACATCAACATGATGATCACACGAAAACAAAACAAAACAGATAGTTGTTGTTGTGACTGATCTGTCATCTGACCTCATCAGGACAAGCCCATGAAATTCATCGTGGCAAAGAGTACAAAATTACACCTGTCATTGGCAGGAGCCTTGGACACCCATATGGGTGACAGTACGATTTTGCCCAATTCCTCCCCAATTTTATGAAACAGAATAATGATGGATGACAATGTACCACTGCAATACCTTAATAAATAAATTTTAAAATATAAGGATTTTTCTTTTAAAGTCAAAATATCAAAGTTATATGTTTAACATGACTTAGCACAGTTCTACTCAGCTGGTACTTATAAAAATTACAAACTTCTACCAATCACCATTTAAGAAAAGTCTTGCATAGCTTTATTAATTTTTTGCATTTTTTCCATGCTGCACATTTAACCTAATGAGTGAAATTTTCTCTATGAGAGATATTAATTAATCACAGAAGCATATTTTAATATGTATTCTTATTCATTAAATTTCATTCAATTCATTAAATTTTTACTTATGAATCTTTTCAAAGATGCATTGTCAAAGAACTTGAAGTCTGGGGAAGGTTGTGAAAACTTACTGTCATTATTATTATTCTATTATTATTATTATTATTATTATTACATGGAATACATACTTGCTGAAAGCATGTAAATTTTTGTTCTTTATTCTCTTAGTATATGGTATTAGATTTCTGTTAGGGTATATTTAAAAATGACTTCGAAGATCTTTCTGCTTTATTACACATCTATACCACTAAATTAATTCGTACCAAATTCCAAATCTTAAAATCAAGGACAAATATTTTATTGATATACGTATGCAAAATGTATTTTTCCTCTGTAAATGCATTCTTAACTGCAAAATCATTTGTAAACATAATTTGAACTAAATATAACAACTTATTATTTCAGTTTGTCTACCTAGATACCGTTTTAAACAAAATTAGAAATATTGGTTACTTTTAGAAAGGATCCTTTCATACAGCAATCTTTATGACAGAGTTCACTGTAATTAACCTGAATGCATATATGGATGACGTTTGCCTCTGACAAAAAATATCCAGGCATGAATGTGTGGTGCAAAAAAAAAATATATATATATATACAGTTACGACTGCATTATTGAGTACATTAACAGAAGAAGGAGAGATTAACACACACTATTATAAATTTGTCAAACAAACATTACTGTAATTAAGTTTTTATTTAGAAATGGTACTTTAATTGCTGTTTGTTTGGGTATGATAAATGAAAACACTGGAATGTTCATAAAAATGGCACATGATAAAAAAGCAGAATACGGACAAAATCAGAAGTGTATCCTAAGTGTTTAGTATGCCCAAACATAATTATGGAAATAGTTTCAACAAACAGAGAAAATATCTCAGCATCCAGGAAAGACAATCCATTGGCCAAAATCATGTTAGATGGTCACACCACAACCTTAACTGACTGACGGGGAAGAGAAAAAAAAAGAAAAAGAAAAAGAAAGAAAGAGTTTGAAGCATTGTAAAAGCCTGCTGTATTTCCAGGTTTTTTAATATTACTTCAAACTGACAGTAGCTTTAACAATGCTTCAAATGCCAGTATGACAACTAAAATGTACAGAATGAAATTTTAGTTGTCATACTGGTGCGGTAAAATAGTTCTTAGCTACTGAAATAGGCCTGAATATTATTTTCTTTTCATTCCTGTCACTTATAAATAAGGTTGGTTTCTATCAGATGGTGCATGACAACCAAAGATTCTGTAAAATTTATTTTGAATGATCATTTGCCATTTTAATACAATAAAAATTATATTTAGATCATTGAATGCCAAAGCAAATTTTTGCACATTAGAGTGAAAATTTTACATCTTGATTACAACCTTAATGAAAGTTCACAAGTTTTTTTTTAATTAAACAAGTTTATTAGACTAAAATGCATAAATTTGTTCAGGTTTATATATTTTGTGAAACTTATTTCCTGCAAACTGTAATTTACTTACTGAAGTTTAGATCTTTTGAGATTCATTCAAGTTTTAATTGGTCCAACAACATTTAGAGAAATGTGCAGACTGAAGGCTGTTTTTTAACTGCTTTTGAGGTGAAAGACATTGAAAGAATTTTATTGCTTTTGATTTGATCCAAATGGAGAATCACATTTGTTTCATTACAGCAGACGCTAATAATTGTTTCATTACAGTAGATGCTAACATCAATTGCAATCGTACTAAGCGTCTACTGTATTTCATTACAGTAAATGCTTAATATGATTGCAATTAATGTTAGCATTCAGATATTTTTATTCAATTGCCGAATTCCCAGCCATTGGTATACTAAAACATGGAAAATATATATCACTTACTGTTATCAACAGTTCAGTTAATATGATCAAAATATTATAGAATAAATTTTTTAAACTGAAGTAAAGTTGCAAAATAAGTTCAAAATTTATTATAAAAATTGCCAGTTAACAGAGACATGCTTCTAAACATCTTGGTTTTGATTTCAGTCAATCAATTAAAACTAGGCAAAAAACAACGTTAGTTTACAAGGTGTGACACAAAAAAACGAGACTAAGTGTGTAGCTCGAAAAAAGAGTGGAGTTGGCAACAATTGTTTTGGTGATGTCATCCTACACACCTCCTCTATCCATGTGGCCAGTTTCGACTTACACACCAGTTAGGAGTACTGTGACATTGAGTGAACACGTGCAACTGCATTCTGCTGGAAAAAAATTTCTAATGTAAAAACTGAACAGCTAATCAAAATCAAATTTCTTGTGAAACTTTAGAAATCAGCCATGGAAAAATTTCAGATGGTTTTCAGGGGGAAGGGACAAAGCATGCATGTCAAATTAAAATTCAAAGCAATGTTAATTGTCTTCTTCGACATTAATGAAATTGTAATGATTGAGTGGGTTCCCAGTGGTCAAACTGTTAATCAACACTACTACACTGAAGTACTGACTTCGTGAAAAAAATTATAGAAAAAAGGCCACACTTGTGGCATGATGGATGGCTGTTGCACCAGGACAGGGCACTCACTCACATGGCCCTATCTATCAAGCAGTGTTTCTGACCAGCAAAAACATTACTGTGATGGGGCATCCTCCTTATAATTTTTTTGGTTCCATGAGACTTTTTTTTTTATTTCCTAAAGTTAAATCTTGCTTAAAAAGAAGCCATTTTACCTCAGTTGAAGAAGTTCAGGAAAAAACGGTGAATCTACTAAAGGGCCTTCCAAAAACCTCGTTCCAGAACTGTTACCAGCAATGGCAGCACCGAATGCAGAAGTGTGTGAATGCTGAAGGGGACTACTTTGAAGGTGATAATGTAATGGAGAACTGATTCTTTACGTATAACCATTGGCCCAGTCTCAATTTTTTTTTGTGTGTGTGTGTGTGTGTGTGTGTGTGTCACACCTTGTATTGTATAAATTTTCAATAACTCAGCCAATTTTGAGGGGATCTGACACAGGCCCTTCTCCTTAAGAAAATAAAATTTCTGTGGATTCGCTTTCCCTGCCTGAAAACATCTATACAAAATTGAGGTTGCTTTTCTGTCTAAGTTTAAATTTTACATTAGCAAGTTCTCTTCTAGTGAGGGATACTCTCCAAGTATTAAGATCAAGGTTACAATAACCATCAAATAATTTAAAGAAATGTTATGAGCAATTCATAATGAACTTTTGCATTAAAGACACTATGAACAGGTCATAAACAAGCTTTGTATTTTTAAATTAAAATGCTGTGAAAATACCTAGTTACATGTTTCCAATTACATTTGTATTAAATTAAATTCCACTGCTGTTTCTGAAAGTTTAATGTTATCATTCAGTTAAGTTATCAAAATAGCCAGAGACAGAAAATATCAAATTAAGTTATACCTACTGTACCATTTTGTAAGCTATATAAATTTCTGGCATCCAAATCCTAACAGAAATTCTGATCAGTTGCAAATTAAACAATTGATTAAAAATTAAAATAAATTAAGCATAAAAATTGCTTAATTTTACTTACTGTAAGGGACGCAAATTGAAGAAATCTCTTAGAGACGGATATTATTTCAGGAAACATTTCAGATGGTATCCTTTCTTGTACAAATTCTTTAAAACTCTAAATAAAAATGTTCATTATTATTAAACACCCAGAAAAATAAAAAAAATAAATATAATATATATATATACGAATTATAATGGATCCCTTATAAATAAAACACTTAATTTTAAGAATATTTGATATCCATTTTGAACAAAATTTTAAATAAGCAAAATATTGTGTAAGAGTTTAAAAGTGTGCATATAAAACTGTTGCTACATATTATTGCATGTTGTGGTTACACAAATGTCTCCTCAATGATTGCAGGCAAACAAGAAGAAATTAAAACTTCATTGAAATAAAAAAACAACCAATATAACAATATAAATAGCTGTGTATACTCCAAGGTGAAAAACAAAAATTCCCCTAAGATGAGAGAAACATTGCAGACGACAAGAGTTATTCACAGAACAAAAGTTCAAAACAGTAATCATTGAATTTAAGCGCCACAATATGATCACATTAAATGTCTTCGAACACTAGCTGACCTGACCAACTCACAGTCATTCAGTAATTTTCCATTAAAATTATACTACATTTTCCAATGCCACATTGGCTCATTTCTTTTCCCCACAGTTTTGATTTGATATTAGATATTTTTTTGTCTAAATTGTTTACCCACTTTACTAAATTTCTGTTGGGTTTCATCTCTAAAACCCCCTTCTAGAAAAAGGGAAACCATGAAATAAAAACAAGTACAGAAAAATGGTAACTTTATTGCATCTTAAATAACTAAATAAAATATGCATCATTAAAATTAAATAATAGTAATAAATAAAAATTGCACTAAAAATCATATAAGATTAAACAAGAGATATTAAGTTAAAAATAGCATTTAGCTTAGCAAAGAAGCTTAGGAATGCATACTATGGCACATGAATTCAATTAGTCTAAGTCTAAATGTTGCAGACAGCCCCTTTTTGGCATTTATTGCCCCATTTTGCACTACCCAAAAACTCTCAACAGACTGGACATGACACTAAGAGTTTAGATCACCAAAATGATAACAATGATTTACTGTGAAATATTCATATCAAATGATATATAGCCCTTCCAGCAATCAGAAGATATATAATAGTTCCGTTTACATTTTCCTCTGTTGTGGCAAATCACAAAATCCATTGCAGTAAAAAGATAACAACAACTGAATGAAAAATGTGGGTGCATAAGCTATGCTTATAAAGACAACTGCTGGAAAGAAGCCAAACCAAACTGGAAATAGCCAAACCATTGAGGAAATTAAATTTGTCCAAACAAACAAAAGTGATATGTTTTTAACAGAAAAATAATCCAGCCACTCAGCTCCTATTAGTAATATTACTAAAGGAAAAAGGATAAACACTTCTGAAAATTTCAAGAAAAATCCATCCTAGAATTCAAAACAGTTTTACAGAAACTTTCAGAATGTCGTAAAGCTGACATCAATTTCTGTTGCTAAGAGTTGGTAGGAATGTGTCTACTCATACCCTAGTTCTATTTAAACTGTTTTTACAATTCCAGCATCAATCAATTCAGAATTAAAAGATCTATGGCATAATGCAGGAAACAAAAACTTAGTAAGTGACTAGAGATTTGGTTACACAAAAATATGCAATAAAACATAAAATATGACATAAAATGCTTTAAATTAGTAAATAAATAAAAATTACATAAAAGTACAAAAATACAAAAGCTAAATTACAAGTACCGTAATTTCCGGAAGAAAGGCTGCATCAGCGTAAACGCCGCACTCGATAAAAATGGCGGGAAAAAAATTAAAATTACACAGAAACGCCGCAATAGATTAAATTGCGTGTGACATCGTCGTGGGCCGTATAGATGCAAAAACTCAACCTAAGTCCTGATATATGACATACCAGTAAAGTTTTTAATAATGAACTATAAATAATATTTTTAATTATCGATGTTTGTTTTTAAAAGATTTACAAGTCTTAAGCTTGCGTTCTGTTGGTTAAATATATTCTCTTCATCTTAAATCTTCTGAAGTTTAAATAGAAAATGCGGATTATAAAGGTAAATTGTCTATTTGCCTTTATAATCCGCGTTTATCTATTTAATATAAACCGAAAAACTGCCTAATATTTTCCTGTAAGTAACCGTAGAAACTAAGGCAATCCACCTTAGCATTTTTTTTATCTTCCAAATGTAAGCGAACATATAGTCCACTGCCGTTGCATTCCTCAGAAAACCATTCTAACTCCCCTACTCCCCGATGAAAATAATAGAATCGTCTCTCTCATAGGCTGCCGTTTTGAGATGTAGACGCTAGTCTTAAAAACTATCCAACAAGTACTTGTACCCAAACTGATGGGATCTGTATCTGGCAGAATGCCAAGAAAAATCCATTCATGCTGAAGGGGAAATACGTCAGAGTTCGTTATTGCGAGGCAGGTGGAGTCGTGTCCGCCTTTGAAAAAAATTGCAGAAAAGGCAGGGGTGGGGAGAGGATGGGTCCTGGAAGATTCATCGAATGGCTGAGGAGAGGAGATATTCGAACTAATGAGAATGTTGATTTGAAGGGGAAAGGGAAGAAGTTATTGTTCTGAGATCTTGTTTAGGGTGAATAAAACATGTAGGTCCGTTCAAGGGAAAGAATGTAAAACAAATAACGTTCGCAAAAAACAACTGAGTGGTCTTTTATGTGGGAACAGCATAAGTCTATGCACAATGACAAGGCCATCCAAACTACGTAAAATGACCATTATAGGAAATATTTTACTTTTAGTGCACCTAAACGCCGCACCCGCTGAAAATTTAAGTTTTAAACACGTAAACGCCGCGGCGTTTCTTCCGGTACCTTAAATATTTACCATATCATTATTATATATATAAAATATATTCAAACCTGTTTAGCATCCATAAAAAACACAAGCAGAACAGATATGAATGAAACAATAGTGCTAAGCTCCATATCTTTATCAGCAGCCTTTAAAACTGCAACAAGAAAATTACATACATCAAATGCTGTTAAATAAGATGGTGCTGAAAATACATTTAACAAAGATTATTTGAAACCAAAAGAAATATGGGAATATAATTTTAACTAAGAAAAATATTAACGAACCTAATTGGATTTCAGGTTCCTCATGGTTAGAAGCTGTATTTGCTTTCTCAGATTGAAGTGCAATATTTTTCACTTCCTTAATTTTATTTACACAGTTTAACAGCATCTGCAAAAAAATTTTTATTTGACTTTGAAGTTTTTTATTTGGGGGGGGGGCTTTGAAAAAGCAATAAATAAGAACTAAATTCAGAACATTTGTTTTTATCTACAAATCCATTCAGTAAGAAATTCAGTCACAATTTAGTACAATATATTATTTAGAAAAACAATTCACAATTATTAATAAAATGTCTGCCTGTGAAAAAGTCTGCAATATAAATTACACATAATATAATCAAAAATGTTTTCAAATTTACCTTTCGAACTATTAGAGGTCATTTTTACATTTTCTGTAGTAGAATAAACAAACACTTTCTCTAAGATAAAATCTAGTTTACTACTCATCCCTCCCAAGAAAAAAAAAGACTTGAACGAAAACTTCAGTGAATGGTTTCTGAATTACCACTGATATTTCTTTATACTTGATTTTTTTGATATTATGTGTGCATCCTAATGATTTTGAACTGGCATTTATACAGTAATTTAATAGAAGAAACTTGTCAAAATATTTCTTTTCAAAATTCTAGATCGTTATTTACTTTTGATTTAAAATTGTTAAAAAATTAAAATATATAAACAATGCATTTCACACCAGCTTATTTAATATCGGCATTATATTTTAATGTAAATCTACAGAATAATTAATTTTTTATACATATAAAAACATGAAACATAAACACAAAAACCAGTACAGTTAACCTGCTCAACCCCTAAGAATTGAACTTCAGATACATTAGTAGCAAAAATTTTGATTTTTTTCACCTGAAAACAATAGAGATGGATCTTTCACCTACAAACTAATTCAAAGAACCAATTCATTTTAATGAGTGAATGAGCAGTGTGATTCGACAAAATGAAGCAACAGCCTCTTTACAGCAAGCATTCAGAGCTTTTGTTGGACACTGAGTCATAAAAAAGAATCAATTCAGTTCAACAAGTGAACATTTCTGATCTGACTCATAAAAGAACAATTTTGCTCATCTCTAGAAAGCAGTAGATATTTAAAATGTGTTATTAGTTCCTACAGAAGCTATCACAAACCAAAAAATTTGAAGCAATTTATTAAGTCAAAATCAAAAGAAACAACTGAAATATCTATTTCAATGAATCTTCATTTCTATTTTTGATCTAATTCACTCATTGTTTTTTAATAAAAATGAAAGCACAGTAACTTACAGTACTATCATATAATACTGAGATCAACTGCTCTTATGGCAGATTCTGCAAATAAATAATGCATATAGACTAGATAATTTAATTAATAATGTTTTTATGAGAGTTATATAAAATTTATTATAGCAAGACACTCATAGACTATCTTCCCTTAGATGAATGAAGAATATTTTCATGAAATATTTTATGAATGGTTTGTACACTAAGTCCCAGATCCGGACATCCAATATCTGGAATGATCTAAAATCCATACCTCAAAGCCATAAGCCATTTTTTTATGTTTTACACATGTGCATTTGATTTTTCCTTCTACAACATATGGAGGTTTTTCACTAGAAAATTCCAATTCTTGATTACACTTAGGCACTAAATAAAATACCTCGTTATGAAGAAACAATCATTTAAGCATAAATTTGTGAAATTAATAATTTGGCTCTGTAGTCAAGTATCTCCTTGGCATACATCTCAAACCGAAACATTCACCTACTAGTACTTTATACCCCTGACAACGACCTGTCATTATTTATTATATTTTGCTTTCATCTCCACATGTTTATCAATACATGACAGCTTCAGTTATGACTCATGCAGTGATGTCTAAACATTAAAAAAAAATTTTTTTTTAATATTAGTAATTGAATAACAAGAGTATGGCAACTTTTTACGCTAACATTATGCTTGGCGGTGATTATAAATTAAAGTTCAATGTGCTAAGAAATGTTGAGGAGGAAAAATTTAATTTTGTATGCTCAAAAATAGATTTTGTTAATGAAACTCATAGGCCAAAAGATTACATTTAGTGCTACTTTAATTAAGAATAACTGATATGTTATTCACATAAACTCAGAAGCAGTGGCAAAATATGGCCGCACCTGACGGCAGAATTAGGAAAGACAAAATTTTCGGAATTTGAGGATGCATCGAGCGGCAAAATTAAGGGATGAGAAATTTTTTATAATTTAGAAAAAATCACTGAGTTTAGGGGTGGCAAAAATTTAGAACTTAGGAAGGCATATTGTAGCAGAATTTAGGACCCGCAGAGACTGCAACAGGTGGTATCTTGCCCCGGCCCTATATAAAGCCTTAAATATATGTGGGAGTTTATACAGGACTCAGATTATACTTAAGCATGCATAAGAAATAGACATAGGTATGGTAAATAGCTAAACCAATAAAATTCAGGCTTAGTTCAGTATGCAATAGGAGCAAGACAAAATTTAGTGGAACAACTTGTCTTTCATTGCCAATCTTATGATACATAGCCAATAATGTATAGCAGATGCTAAGATAACATATCCGTTTTATTCTTCCCTCCAAATTGTACGTCCGCCATTCAGCCTATGGATATCGGAATAGAGCGCACGCTGAAATGCAAATATAAAGTAAAATTTTTTAAACCCATGTTAAGTTTCTTGAACAATAGCAAGACCATTCACGAATTTTGGAAATACTTTAGCATAAAATCTGCTGTGTGGAGCATCGCAAGATCATAGGAGGATGTATCTCCAGATACGTTAAAAAGTGCTTGGCATAATTTATAGCCAGCTATCATATTTCACAGTGAGGACAACAAAAATGATAGCCACGAATTTGAAGGTTTCCGGACATTGCAAACTAAAGATGAAATTTTCCAGCTAATGGATTTTGTAAAGAAATTTGGAGAAATGGTAATAAATGAAGATGATATAACAGAAATTCTTCATTGCGATGACATTGCCCCAATCATAAATCAATTAATTGACAACAAAATCTGTAGTATGGTTCTAGATCCAGAAAATACTGCTACCGATAGTGAAGAAAGTTACAGACAGGTTATTGAAAACAAAAAAATTTCAGTTGACAAGTTAGCAGGTGTTCTCGACACAGCAATTACAGGACTTGAACACTGGAACTTTGTAATTGAACAAGAAAATTATGTCTGTTAATAGAATTAAAGAGAAAGCAGTAGCACAAAAAATGAAGCAACTTAAACAACTTACATTGAAAGAATTGTTTAATAAAGTAAACAAATAAATATTAGTTTTTTTATATACCCTTTACATCATAAATTCTTTATTATTTCGTTAATTACGATTTCATATTTTTAACTGTATAATTTCTGCATGCCATCTTACTAGATTTAAATTGATAATCTAATATCTGGAAAAATCCCAAATCCGGAATTGCCAAAGTCCTGACAAGTTCGGATCTCGAACTTTGTACTGTATACAGTTTTAACATAGAGCAAAATACAAAAATTGATGCGGCGAACCTACTTATCTACCAAGAACTGAAACTGATACAAACAACTAGCATATCTCTAAAAAAATCCAGGTTTTTTTTCCTTTCAGGCAAGTTAAGTTACATTGATTCTAAAAATTTTAATTTAGAATAATAAATATTTAATAAACTTAGTATTACTTACAATAATTCATAAATAAAAAAATTACCTTTATCAAAGCTTCAACAGCCCGAATTTCTACATTACTGTCAACTTTAAATGTTTTAAGGCATAACTGAACAAAGGTTCGTTTATTCTTCAAGTAAAAATTTATTATTAATTCCAGGCACTATAATAAAAAACACAGAAACTAATTAACACAAATGTTAAGCTTTAAATATAAAGTATAATTTTTTAAATACAAGCATTATAAATTTCATTTTCGTTTTTTAGGTCCGAGATCTTCAGGTAAATAAACAGTACAAGGTAAGTTGATAAAAATGTCAAATATTTTAAGAATAGCTACCATATGCTTTTTGAGAAGATAAAAAGACATCATCTATACACTGATATAAAATCATTACATGGATGAATGGCCAGAAATGTGTCTCAAAAATAAACAACTGCATTAAAAAATATATAACTTTAAACCATTTTAAAAAGTATGGAAATTAAAAATATTCAACCAATACAACTAGATAAGAATTTGTCAAATATGGTACTGAATATTCAGCACAGCTTTACTAAATAAAATTTGTTTAGCATTTAAGATTTCTCTAAGAAAGTAATGGCAGTCACTTATTCAGCTCATGAACATTTTTTACACCATTGTATGTAACAATAATAAAGATTTAAAGAAAGCTTGAGTGGAATATTTATTTTCTAAAATTCAGACTTTAAAAATAAAATATCTAGTAGTAACTATAAGAATCAACATCATAATTTTTGGATGCTATTGCTGAATTGATATAGCAATAAATACTGTGAAACTATAGAGAAATTAAAAACTTACAAGTACAAGAATATCAAAATATTTTTCATCTGATTCAAAATATGTCTTTAAAATACAAATCATAATTTTTTCCATCAGTCCTTTCACATTAGTAAATGTATCATACTGATCTAAAAGAAAATAAAAAAAACTACATATACTGTACTGCATGAAAAGAAAACTATGGCAGTATTAATTATAAGCATAAGAAATACATAAAACTACATAAAAGAACAGAATAAGTAAATTAATGGTAAATATAGTCAAATTCCTAACAATAACTACACTTGACGATTGGTATTTCTGAGATTTTTATTAAATAATGGTCCTGAAAATCACCAATAATCACATTTTCTTAAATGACTTCTTGCACAGAATATCGAAATAAAAACTTTATGTGTGGTCATATTATGGAAGTTTCACAAAGTCTCGCAATTACTATAAAATCAAAGTTTTATTTTTCTCATAAAAAGAAGAAACTGAAAATTTGTAATTTTAATTCAAAACAGTTTTACATATAATTTTAAAATTTGAAGATCAATTATGGTCTATGTAAACTTTTCAAAACATCACTTGATTCAGTAGTGCAGTTTCAAAGTTATGAAAGAGTGTTCAAGCATAGAAATGAATTTAGGTAATTTGATGCAATTTGAGAACAGTAATAAAATATTTGAAAACATCAAGTGAATCTTGGAAAATGATAATAAAAAAAAGAGAGAGAGAGGGGGAGTGAGAGAGAGAAGAAAAATAATAGAGCTTTCGGTGCAACTTTTCAGCCAGGGAGCTTTTGGCATTACATGAAAAACAGTAATACTCTGGAATAAATTCAAGGAACAGCTCATTCATGTAACAAATGGAAAGACTTGCACTAATGTAGGATGGCATTGTCCATTATAATCGGATGACGCGACAAGCTGTGAAAATAAATCTTTTACTTGCCCGATGCTAGAAGTCAGACGATTCTTTTGGTGCAACTTTTCAGCCAGGGAGCTTTTTGCATTACATGAAAAACAGTAATACTCTGGAATAAATTCAAGGAACAGCTCGTTCATGTAACAAATGGAGAGACTTGCACTAGTGTAGGATGGCATCGTCCATTATAATCAGATGACGCGACAAGCTGTGAAAATAAATCTTTTACTTGCCCGATGCTAGAAGTCAGACGATTCTGCCATTAAGACGATGATGCAATTGAATGATGTCTGCATGCAAAAGACGGTCAATTCTCTTCATCTGTAAATAATCTCATCTATTTCCTTCTACACATGTAATCATTTTGTAGTTTTCAGCAACTATTCATGTTTCATTAAATATTCGAGTTATTCATAAGTCGGATTAGTCATTTCAAGCCCCTAGACAGCCACATCAAAAGTAAGTTTACAGACATCATATTCCTACACAGCGATCCAACAGATTTGGGCGCCATGATGAGCCTAGGAAGAATTATGATGAATATTACAAAAGAAAAGAAGTAAGTTTTTTTCGACTATTTTCAAATTGTTACTTCTAAGAATAGTGTTCTACTGCATTTTGAACCAAGATGGCTACTTTAAATTCGATACCTAGAATTTCTAATTCTTTAAGAACTGGGCCTACAAAATCCATTAAACTGTTACATCAAATTGTGTTTGGAACTTTAAGTGATAGAAAAAATAGAGCGAGATTGTGTAACTTTTGTGGTTTTCCATCTGATTTCAATATTGAGGGAACAAACAAAAATTACTTCAAACTTTCACTGCAAATGATTTTATTTCTGTGTGTAATTTGTTTCATATTAATTATGAGTCAAGCCCTGATAAAAACTGTGATTTAATATTGAATAGACTTTGTGATTTTAAGCTTCTGAAATCTGAAAGTGACGACGATGATAAGTTATCTGAAAACGAAAGTGTTTATTATTCTGATAAAAATGATAATGATAATTCTGTTTGGTCAGAATCACCTCCCATAAATAATTCAGTAGATTAAAACATTATGATGCCTAGTAATATTTCATTAAATGTTTCTGAATTTAATGGTACTGATACATATCCGAGTGAATCCTTCATTTGCGATTTAGAATCCTTTAAATTATTTAAGTTATCTGAATTACAAAAGATTGTGTTTGCTAAAAAATTGCTTACTAGTTCTGCTAAAGTATTTATTCGGTCTTTGAAAGGTATAGTGTCATGGGACAAATTAAAAGAAAATTTTTTTATCTGAATTTGGTTCCAAAATAAACAGTGCACAACTTCAAATTTTATTACAGAAACGACACTTAAAACCCGGTGAATCCCTTTCCGAATATTTAATTGCCATGTGTGAAATAGCCAGTCGCGGTGTTGATGATTCATCTATTCTTGATTATGTAATCAATGGGATACCCGATCAGAGTAGCAACAAAATTATTTTGTATGGGTGCAAAACTATTTCTGAATTCAAAGAGAAATTAAAAATACAGTCAAAAGTCTTTAATCCGGACTTCGGCGATTCCGGATTATAGATCATCAGTTTAAATCTGGTAATCTGGCATGCAGAAATTATAAAATTAAAAATATGAAACTGTAATTTATGAAAATAAAGAGCAATTATGATCTAAAGGGTATCAAAATTAAAAAAAAAAAAAGCTTAATATTTATTTGTTTTACTTTATTAAACATTTCTTTCAACGCACATGTGTAAAGCGTACATTACGCATAGTTGAAATTAGAAAATTGCAACCAGAAAACTATTTGATTTGTATTCGTGATATTTATAATGACAAGGAATTTGATTTAAATCATATCAAAGACGAAGTACATCGAGATGAAATACTACATTTAGTAAGGAATTATAAGCCAAATAAAATAAAAACATCTGCCCTGAAGATAAGGATAGTGCTGACAGATCAACTTCCAGTTCATTGTGTGCCGCAATGCCCCCCCAGGGAAATAACATGCACATTAAAAGAGAAAACAGTTTTTTTCATGATTTGGTACTGCACTTGAGTAACTTCGGTGAGGGAAGTGGGTGTGATGGCAACAAGATTGAAAAGCTGCCTTTGGCTGTTCAGCTGTTTTTTGTTAGACTGACAGACATCATGAACAATGGTATGAATTTTTTTGTTATTTACATTAACAAATCCCATACAAAAATGTTATGTTTCTTTGCATACAAAAAATGCATACATTATTTGCATTAAAAAAAAGGTAATTTTTTTTCAAAAGGAAGGATATTAATGTATTCTTTCGCAAGTTTCATCAAACTGTACATTGGTAATTTGAGGCTAGGCATACAGTTCGAGCCTAACCGAGAACAGCCGAAGAGCTTTAAAGGCACCTTTTCAATAGTCATAGACTTGAATCTAGCACACCTGTGTATGCATTAGTGATGCAAGAAGTGTAGGATTATATCTAGTTCGTTAAACAGAATGCCAATTCATATTTTTTACTTTTTTAGTTTATTTTATTATTATTTAGTACTATATTATTAGTGTTTTATTAAGTTTTGTTTCTCCTTTTATAATTCTTCTATGGATTTTAACAGTTAAAATGTACCGATATTTGAAGACAAACAATCCATATTATTCTGAAGAGACTAGTGATGAAGATTTAGAATCTAATATGAAATTTCAAAAGGCAGCTAAAGAAAGAAGTTCAAAAAAGGTTCATCGTTGGACTTTACATGGACTGGTTATCCAGAATGTTCTCTTTCATTCATTGCGTCTCATTTATAGTAAAAAAAAAAAAAACTTTAAAATATAGCAACGGCTCCAACACAACTAAAATTTCACAATAAATCATAATAATATGAAAAATAAAACTGTTGATTACTTTAAACCTATGTTAAAAATCTCAAAATAAACACAGTACAGCTTTTATAAACACATTCATAGCTAGTCAAAAGGCTCAGAAAGCAAGTTATTTGCTAGGAGAGCTTATTGCCCAGAAAAGGTAAAGCCACACAGTCAATGTGAATTTGATAACGCCCATATGTAAAATTATAGTAGGTAAAATGTTGGGAGCAGATGCAGTAAGGAAAACTGAAAATATTCCACTTTCGAACAATACAGTAAGTCAATGAGTCAAATTTAGTGATATGTCATGTAATGTTGAACAGGTTTTGTGTGATAGACAAGAAAATGACTTTTTTTTTTTTTTTTTTTTAATTAAGAGAACCAGTCAACAGACTTAACCAACAAACGTTATGTTCTAAGTAGTGATGGGCAACTTCGGTACTTTCTACAGAAAAATACCCGTTACTCAAGTAACCTTTACTTTGAAAAGTACCGAAAACCGATTTCAAGTACCGAGTACCCAAGTAACGATTTGGAGTACCGAAGTAACGAAATACCGGAGTAACGGTTTGCTGTACCGGAGTACCCTAGTAACAATTTGGAGTATTGAAGTGCCCTAGTAACGATTTGGAGTACCGAAATACGCAGCAAACGACTTTGTGCACTGGAGGAACTAAATGCAATATCGCCTAATGATTCTATTAATCAGGCATGAAAGAGCAAAAAATGCAAAGGAAAAAAAGGGAGGGACATGTATGTTTACATAAACATGTCCGGATAATTTCCGGTGTTCCATTCGATAGTTTTTCCCTCCTCAAATAAGCTCCAGAGGGAGTTAAAGAAAAGAAGAAGATTCGGACTGCCAGGTCAAAGTTCACCTCTCTTCCTATCGGAGAAGTGTGGTCACGTCCTGGGGGGTAAAGCAGGCGTTGACAATCCTGCGTTAGGCACGTGACCTGGGTTTAGTTTTTGGTGAGATGAAAATCTGTTTTTAGAAGGGGGAAGAATTATCATAAGTGGGTCAGTTATCTTTGTTCTTTCATTAGAAAAGTTTAAAATTGCGTCTGTATTTTATGTTGATTGGCTTAGTGATTCACTAGATGCTGTGACTTTTTCTGAAGTAGGTACAGCGTGATAAAAAAAAGGATCATATTTATTTAAAAAGTATCATATGATTTACATTGCCCTATTAAGCAAGCAAACGAAAAATATTTTTCATGATTTATGCTAAAAATATGTTGAGGAAAAGGAAGTAATCTAGTTGATAGTTGATTCCATTCACCAATCCAACAACAGCAATTTCCCACTTACCAATCATTTCAGATCCACGCAGATTTTCTCCAAACGATGAAACGATTTTTCTTCTACAAACGATGA